AAAAAAGAAAAAAAAACAGATAGAGTAAGAGAGAGAAGGAGAAGAAAGAAGAAGAGATAGTTCATTGAGAGGAGAGAGAAACGAGAAAATTGATGGCATCCCAACAAATTTGCCATTATAATCTCATAACTTACCATATCATATAAGATACTTAACAAAAGAAATAATTAAATATTGAATAGTGTGGTATATATGCAAATACTTTTAGCATCTAATTCATATATGTGAATAAAAAAAAACAATCAAGTAGATTTACAAATAATTTATGATATGAAGGTACGTGGCATAATTTTCTCTTAAATTTTTTTGAAGGCATAGACTTTAACCAAGCCCATAATACTTGGGCCACAATACATCAAATCATCACTTTCTTTTACTGGACCAACTTCGATTTCTTTCTACCCACCTTTACCATTATATGCAATTATTTGAGCTTCAACAGTTGAACTTCTTCAAGAAAAATGAAAATAAATGAATGGTAAATTGTGCTTAAACAGTTGAACTTCCATCAGAAAAGGAAAATAAATAATAAATAAATTGATCTTGAATAATGAAAAAAAAAAGCCAAAACCTTTTGCACTAACAAATACAAACAGTTGAGCTCTTGATTGGGACAAATGCAGGCCACCAGAAATTGTAGTGCACAAGTAGCCCAAATATCTTGCTCCTCAAGTTCAAAAGAAGAAAAAAATGCTAGTCAAACTTTTTAACTCAGGCAAGAGAGGAATGATTCGACCCATCAGATGTCCACAACGAGATTTGAGTCGTCGGATTACACGTTATATATCATTAGGTCATAATCGATATACACGTACAGATGTATGTCCCAACGACTTATAATATTGGATGAAATTCCACATGAAAGATAATACAATTAAGTGCAACATATTATTTAAATCCACAAATACTTAACACGCCACTGGTGCTTTTCTTTTTTGTATTTTTTTGGGAACGCGAAACTTTTATAAAAAACAAACATGTACAACTAGATAAAGCAAAACAGCTGACTGAAACAACTATAAAGAAGAATCTAGTGGGGGAACAAACTCGACGGTCGTCTGAACCGACACTAGACCTAGCAAAT